CGTGGCTCTCACGTAGCGTTTAATAGGGTGCGTTTCTGTCTTTACTGCTAACTTTTCAAGAGCACGGACTTACTCGTCTATTATAAGACCTGGCAAGGCCTGGATCTCTACATAAAATTGCCTAAAAATAGAGAACAGAGGTTAAAACTTGCCTTTGAGAAACGAACTGAGCTTCCAATGTCCATGCTCCACGTTATTTTTACATAGTCGCTGTGTCATTTCATTTCATGTCGCAGACAAAACAATTAGCAGTGTGCCTGTGCAGCTAGGAATACCCTGTTAGTCTGGGTTTTGTTCGGGTTAAAGAATACAAATGCTTGTTTTTGCTAAATGAATGGTTCTGGATCAGCACTGAAAAAACGCTGATGCGCTTCCGATGCTTCCGACCCGGGGAGGAGACACACGCTTCCACCAGCAGCGCGGAGCCTTGGACGAGGTCGCCACGCGAGGGAGGACGGAGAGCCAGCCCAGGGGAACGGGCTCAGGCAGCGGTTGGGCCAGAACCAGACATCTGAAAGTGCTGCACACTTTCAAAGACCTAGAACCAGGTTAGGAGGAACAAAGTAATAGTAGCGGGTAGTTTAGACAATCATTTAGTATATTGCCTAGCCGTTAGACGGGGGGAAAGGCGTTCATCGAGACCCAAAGTGGCTCGTTCTTTAAATGCTCGTGAACAGAGGCGAGGAGGAATGGCTCGTTCCGTGCCAGCATCGGGACGCTAACCCACTTAATCCGCGCACGCAGTTCCCTGAGGATTATGGTTTCGTCCCCATTTCCCAGACGGAAAACTGGTCTGCCCGGATTAAAGAAGCTCGCCCTCGGCCGCACACTGGAATTTGAACCTAAGCTGTCCGAGTCCAGGCTCTGGCTTGCCACACTCAGTCGTGACTTGTAAATGTATGGACCGCGCCACGGACACTGCGACAGCAAGAGGCCTAACGGCGATCACTTACCTTCTGGAAATCACGGTCACGTAACCTCCATAGCTCGATTGACCGCAGCGGGCTAACACGCGGTTCAGCTGATCCCCTTCTTAGACGAGGCCAGGGAGAGAAAGGGCACTGCAAAGTCAAGAGTCACTAGGAAATGATGCGATTTGGATGTGAAGGGGGTTGTTAAAGGTCTGGAATTACTGAAAAGTCTGGGAATACTAGGAGCTTCTGCACACGTGCAAGAGCGCGGCCCCTCAAGTAAATACAAGATCAAGAGGACACGCTGGCAAGACATTGGTGAGTGCTGAGCCCCATTCACTTCGCAGTTATCTCCATCTCCTGGGCCTGGCACTTGGGGAAAACCCAAAACATAACATTATGAACGGAGTAGGGCAGGCAGGCAAAACTCACGCCGAATTCCAGCCCTGCCACTTAGCGGTGACTCACCCGATCTTGGAGCCTCTTTGTCCATCAATAAAATGGGATCACAAATACCAACTGTAAAGTGTCGCTGTAACAAGGAACCAAAGCCATATACATGTCTACGGCGGAATAGTAGCCCAAATCAGTTAATCACGAAAGGCCACAACGTACCATCATCAAACTGTAGAGTCAGTCAATCAGCTGTTACCGGGGCAGAGGTGGATATGAGCAACCTAAACGCATGGAGTCTCGTATCTAGAAAGCTTCCCAGGGATGATTCCTGCTCTGGGTTCTCCTAGGAGGAAGACAGAAAGACTTGCAGAGAATTATTTGTTCAACTTTGGTGGAAGGTAAATCCCTACAGTTCTTAGTTTTAAAGACCAGGAGAAGATCCAGACTTCTTAATTGGGAGAAATTTGAAAATGGTCAGGGTGTTTAAATTACATTAGATAACAATATTATGGTTTTGTAAGAAAGGACTATTTTAGGGTGGGACCAAAGTGAGGGGGCTGGGCAGGGGTTCGCAGCTCTGCAGCAACCGGGGCGTACAACGGCCTCACGGTGCCCCTCATCGTGATGAGCGTGTTCTGGGGCTACGTCGGCTTCTGCGTGCCCTGGTTCATCCCTAAGGGTCCCACCCGGGGAGTTACCATCACCATGTTGGTAACCTGTTGAGTTTGCTGCTATCTCTTGTCACGAAGAGAATTCCTCTAGATGCAAAATCAACTCCAAGCCCAGACCGCCTTCTTTGACTTGCCTGTTTGGGCCATCAGCTGCCTTAAACAGTCACACCATATTTGAATATCTTATTCTACAATGCAGTATTTTTTCCTGTTGCCTTTTTTTTTAACATTTTGATGAATTATGTGCCTACTTAACCTAAACTGTGCTGACTCTGTAAAATGTTTATGCACTCTACTGAGCTAGAAGGTGCTATTCTTCTGAGAAGCACATTGCTCTCTCCTTGGATCCTGTGAATTTGAAGAGGACTCCTGCCTGGTCACAACATGGGAATCAGCAAAGTGTTTAAAAACTGTCACAAGACAAGGCAGTCAGGAGGGGAGCATGTTCAGAGGGAGTATCTGTCCCAACAGAATTACACCAAAGTATATTTTCAGGATGACTTTCTTATTTCTGCCATCTACTGGAATAAATTATTTTTCGGCTTTCTGTGGAAAAGAAAGACAAAAAGAAAGGACTATTTCTAGGAGCTGCATGGTGATGCATTTACTGAAAATTCAACGATGTGTGCAACCTCACGTGGTTCAGAAAAAGTTATATATACAAATAAATAATAAAAATAGCGTGTATAAAAAAACAAATAGGGCAAAATGTTAATTGTTGAATTTTGATGGTAGGTTTATGGTTCATGTTTAAAATTATTCATAATAAAGCACTGGGGGAAAAAACAAAAACACAGGGTTGCATTTAGAGACTGTCCCATGTGAAATTTTCCATCTTCACTCATTGTACGGCTGGCTGGGGCTGGGTGGTAGTGCAGAAAAGTAACTAAAAGACAAGTTCTATGCAACTTTTGAAAACAATATTATGTCAGAGTCATCCAGCCAAATCGTAAGAAGTCAGTACCTAAAATCTACGGTTTTAGGGCACCTGGGTGACTCAGCTGTTGAACGTCTGCCTTTGGTTCAAGTCATGATCCTGGAGTGCCAGGATCGAGTCCCGCACCAGGCTCCCTGCCTAGAGCCTGCTTCTCCCTCTGCCTGTGTCTCTTCTTCTCTCTCTGTCTCTCACGTATAAACCAATAAAATCTTAAACCAATCAATCAATCTATGGTTTAGAGAGATTCTTGGACTGTGGGTGGAGGGGGTGGGGGTGAGTATTGGCCTTTCTGATGAATCTAATCCAGGTAATTTATCTAGAGATATTTGAGGACCACATTTTGAAGACATTAAGGCAACTACTGAAAAAATAAATTACAGGGTCCTCTTGGAAATAAGGCAAAGTCCTACACAATTTTAAGGTATTCTTAAAGAACTAATAAGGAATCCAAAAGGACTACAAGTGGGGGATCCCTGGGTGGCTCAGTGATTTAGTGCCTGCCTTCGGCCCAGGGCGTGATCCTGGAGTCCTGAGATCGAGTCCCACATCGGGCTCCCTGCAGGGAGCCTGCTTCTCCCTCTGCCTGTGTCTCTGCCTCTTTCTCTCTCTCTGTGTCTTTAATGAATAAATTTTTAAAAAAATTCAAAAGGACTACAAGTGAAAAGAAGACAGAGTTTATAAAACCAGAAAAAATGAAAAAAAAAATAAAGTCCTCAAGAGACAAATTAAAATCATTTCATGAATTAATTAATTTATAAATGTTTTGCAGCATATGAGCTACAAATACTCTCTACAGCTTTTGAGAAATGCCTACAGTTCTTTGGTAGAGAATTTCCTGCAGGGCAGCTTATGCATTTGAAGCTCTCCAAAGACCCAGCAGAACTCTACCAACTTCTAAGAATATTGTAACATTCTGAGAACATTAAGGGAATGATCTAAAATGTGGAAAACGTTAGGGGCGCCTGGGTGGCTCAGTCAGTTAAACATCCAACTCTTGATTTCAGCTCAGGTTATGATCTCAGTGGTGAGATCAAGCCCCCGGTTGGGCTTTGCACTCTGCATGGAAACTGCTTGAAATTCTCTCCCTCCTCATAGGCACCCTCTCTCGCTTTCTCTCTCAAGTAAATAAATACATAAAATCTTTTAAAAAATAATAATAAAACATGGGAAATTTTTAAAGTCTTATTTAGAACATTAAAAATTAGAAGCAATTTTAAAGGTTTAACCATGGAAGAGTGACACGTTTACAACATGAATATCCATGTCATGGAATGTTATTCAGCGATTTCAATGTAAGTAAGGAGTAAGCTGCTACAAAAGAAGAATATTAAAGTAAACAGGATTATGAAATTAAGAAGGGAATATACTGATGATTATCTAAAACACAGGAATACCAAAAAGACAATTATACTGGGAATCTTGCATGATACCATTACACCGGTGGCGCTGATAAGACAATTATATCGGGATGCTGGAATTGTTTCCCACCCTCTTCCCACCAGTTGTACAAAAAAAAAAAAAGTAAATATTATAAAAGAATGAAAAAAAATGGTAAGAATGTCATGGCTGGAAGGCCACTAGTGAACAATCATATACAAAGAGCTCTCAAGATAAGAGCTAATGTAGGATATGAGACTAGATGCTGTAAGAAAAGTCACTGTCCTCAACAAGTAATGCTCTCTGCTCTTTTCACCTAACAACAACCCCTGCAAAACCACCCATTCTTCCCTTCTAATGGCAGGTCCCAAAAGGTAGCCATCAAAGAAGTGCTGCCTGTAATAGCACTCTTATTTATGTTCAGCCTATACACATCTTATCCTCAAAATCTTTCTTGGCCTAAACCAATATGAAATATTCTACTTCTCTGAGGTTGTTTTTGTTTTTTACTGTGAAAGAACAATGTTGCTAAATTACTCATCTTTTAAAACCACAATCATGGGATCCCTGGGTGGTGCAGCGGTTTAGCGCCTGCCTTTGGCCCAGGGCATGATCCTGGAGACCCAGGATCAAATCCCACATCGGGCTCCCGGTGCATGGAGCCAGCTTCTCCCTCTGCCTATGTCTCTGCCTCTCTCCCTCTCTCTCTCTGTGACTATCATAAATAAATAAAAATTAAAAAAAATAAAACCACAATCATAATCTCAAACTCCTATTATTGCTATTGCATTTTAGAGTGTTAGGAAGTCCCCAACCAAGATGGGCTATGTTAAAAAAAAAAAAAAAAACTGTTTTACGTTGCTTGTTTGAAACTTGTTACACAGACCTGTGGCACTGAGTTAAGTATATGGCACTTTCCTTACGTTTCCAAGAAAATATTTGAAAAAGTTTCTGTTTCCTTGAAGGAAGATCTTAGTTGAAAGACAATTTCTACACAAACTTGTTAACTAAGTATGTGGCACTTTCCTTATGCTTCCACGTATACATTTGAAAGTGTTTCCATCTGCGTGAAAGATGTCAGTTGAAAGCAGTTCTTCCCTAGAAATATTATAGTAACACAGGAAATGGGTCTGCTCACCAAAGCCTCCGATTTCTACATCCTCTCCCTCAAGTTCCTGGTCTAAAAGACTAATGTCTACTTAGGATGCTTCTTAGGCTTTCCCGAGCCTCCACATAAGTCTTTAGTTTCACCATGGAATTTTCTTAAGTGGGGTATTTTTAAGCTGGGAAATGCCTTACTAACAATTATATTTTGTACCACTTAAAATCTACTAACTTTCATTTTCATAAAACATGTGACATTTGATTAACTTAAATTCCATATGAAAAATACTCTACAGGCAATCAGAAAATTAAAAACAAAGAGCTATAAGAGAACACTAAAGTGTCCCTAAAGTTAGTGGACTACAAATATCAAATATCAAAAGCAAGATGCTATTTTAAAATATGTAATGACTTAAGTTTGACGATGGGTGAATTTTAATTTAATCCTTTCTGTAAAAAACCAAATGGTATTCTAATGCCACTGAGACTAAGTGCTAAAAAACTAAATAATCAAACAAATATGTGAAACATGATTACAATTTAAATTTTTGGCCTCTTTTTCTAAGCCCCCACTTTTTTTTAAGCCCCCACTTTTAATACAGAATGAACTCTCCCATCCTAAGCATAGTGGTATTATTTGACACTTGACATCTAAAAGCTGCACATTAGGATCAGTCTTGGAATTTTCACAGCTATGGAGAAGGATTTATTTATTTTTTTTTAAAGGCACTTTATTTTTTTTATTTATGATAGTCACACAGTGAGAGAGAGAGAGGCAGAGACACAGGCAGAGGGAGAAGCAGGTTCCATGCACCGGGAGCCTGACGTGGGATTCGATCCCGGGTCTCCAGAATCACGCCCTGGGCCAAAGGCAAGCACCAAACCGCTGCGCCACCCAGGGATCCCTAGAGAAGGATTTAAAAAGAAAAAGCTTCCAACTGCAATATAGTGTAACTGGTACAAATACCGGCTTAGTTCTTAGGTCTCGGACTACATTCCTCTATTTCTCTATAAAAATCTTTTAGCATCTGATAGTTTCATCAGACTTCCCATTTTCAAACAAGTAGCCTTGACTTCCCATCATGTCCCGGATAAATGAGTCTGAAGATTTCCTGAAGGCAGACCTCAATCACTGAGTCCCCTTTACAAATAAGGCAACCGTGCCTTTTCATTTCTGTTGGAAAAGGGTTGTTGTTGTTTTTAAGATTTGTTTATTCATGACAGAGAGAGAGAGGCAGAGACAGAGGCAGAGGGAGAAGCAGGCTCCGTGCAGGGAGCCCGAGGCAGGACTCTATCCTGGGCCTCCAGGGTCACGCCCTGGGCGGAAGACAGGTAGGTGCTCAACTGCTGAGCCCCCCGGGGCTGCCCCAGAACAGGGTTCTACGCTCCACACTCAATGTTCAGTAGGGCGCACAGTGATGTGCAAAAATGTTTTCCAAGGCTCTCTTCTGGTCCATTGGGGGACAATCAGAATATAACAACGCCGGGCAGAAGAACCGGACCATACTCAGTCACATTTGACTCTCTCGGCCGGGGGTTCCTCCTTGTAATGGGAAATGATCTGAATTAGGATGCAACAGTTGACGAGGAAGAAGAACAAACCGGCCAACCAGATGAACAGAAAGGTGTTCTTTCCCTGGAACTCCAGGAGATAGGCGGGCGCCAGCCACAAGGCCTGCCCGAGGAACCACAGCACCAGGAGGCCGGCGGCGCGTTTCCAGGGCATCCTCACCTGCGGCATCACAAGGGGCAGCAGGCAGAGGTACCAGAGGAAGTACTGGGAGGTGCAGACCTTGTTGAAAGTCACGAAGATCGCCGTGTGCAGGAAACAGCAGAAGGCGAGGTCCCTGTAGTAGGCCAGGGACGCGGCCGAGAGCAGCAGCAGCTGCGGCAGGAAGGCGGCGACGCCCAGCGAAGGGCTCCACGGGCTCTCGGCCGTCAGGTACAGCATGTAGAAGTAGGGCGAGAAGTTGTGCCGGATGTCCCGCCTCGTCAGGTGGTACAGGTACGTGTGCTCCAGGAACTCCCAGCCGTAGCGGCGGTAGAAGCCGAGGCTCAGGGCGCAGAAGGTGAGCCCGGCCACCGCGGCGAACAGCAGCACGGCGCGGCTGCACAGCGCCCGGAGCAGCGCGGACGCACGGGCGCGGCGGGGCGGGGGCGCGGGCGCGGGCGCGGGCGGGGCGCGGGCGCGGGCGCGGGCGGGGCGCGGGCGCGGGCGCGGGCGCCCCCCGCCGCAGGTGCAGCGCGATGGGCAGGATGTAGGTCACCGGGTACAGCTTCAGGTGCACGGCGAGCCCGTAGGCCACCGCGGCGCACGCCAGCCGCCCGCGCGCCAGCAGGTACAGCGCCGCCAGCACCAGCGCCGCCACCAGCGCGTCCGCGTTGCCCCGGCTGGACACCGCCATGGGGAGGGGGTTCAGCAGCCACAGGGCGCAGTAGCCGCAGGCCGCGCGCCGGCCCAGCCCGCGCAGGAGCAGCAGGCGGTAGAGCGGCCAGGCGGCCAGCACGTCGCAGCTGATAAACAGCAGCTTCCCGAACAGCTCGCACAGGTGCACGTTGGGCGCCAGCAGCCAGGCCAGCAGCGGCGTGTAGCGGTAGGTGGCGCGCAGGTACGGGGAGCGGCCCTGCGACAGCAAGCGCGCGGCGTCCGTGAACACCCGGTAGTCCACGTCCGTGTAGCGCACAGGCAGCGCCCGGTCCTGGAAGGCGCCGTACAGCACCAGGGCCACGCGCGCCACGAAGGCCACGCCGAACACCCCGGCGGGCCGCACCCGCAGGCTCAGGGGCCGGCCCATCACCGGCCCGCCCGCCCGCAGACCCCAACCACCGCGCCGCGGCCGCTTCCGGCAGGGAGCCCCGCCCCCGCCACGCCCCGCCACGCCCCGCCACGCCCCCGCTTCCGGGGGAGGAGCCACGCCGCGGGTCTCTCCCTCCGGATTGGCTTCCTGCGGCGGGGGCGGGACTTCCGCGTCTGGCCGCGGCGCCCCGCTGCTCTGCTCTGCTCCGCCCTTCCCGCCGCGGCCCCCGAGCCTGAGACGCCGGAGGGGGTCCGGCCGCCAGCTGCGCAGCTCGCCCGCCAGCGGGGCTCCGGGGGGCGGCGGGCGCCCCTGTGTGCAGCCCCGGGAGCTGGCGGCCGTGTCCTGGCCGGCGGCCCTGCGGGGGGGGCGGCCGGGAAGGGGCCCGCCGCGCGGCTGCGGCCGTCTGCTGCCCCGGGTCACCGGAGCCTCCCCGCCGCCCGCCGGCGCGCGACCCCTCGGGCGGAGGCCCGGGTGTTAACGCCTGGAGGCGACCCGGGCGCCCCCACCTGAGCGCCCACCTGAGCCCCTGCCGAGTGCCCGCCTGAGCGCCTGCCGAGTGCCCGCCTAGTGCCCACCTGAGCCCGCGGAGCACCCGCCGAATGCCCATGGAGTGCCCACCAAGTGCCCACCTGAGTGCCCGCAGAGCGCCCGCCAAGTGACCACCTGAGCGCCTGCCCAGTGCCTGCCGAGCGCCCACCTGAGCCCCCGCTGAGTGCCCGCCTGAGCACCCACCTGAGCCCCCGCCGAGTGCCCGCCTGAGCGCCTGCCGAGTGCCCGCCTGAGCGCCCACCTGAGCCCCCGCCGAGTGCCCGCCTGAGCGCCTGCCGAGTGCCCGCCTGAGCGCCCACCTGAGCCCCCGCCGAGTGCCCGCATGAGCACCTGCCCAGTGCCCGCTAGTGCCCACCTGAGCGCCCACCTGAGCACCCGCCGAGTGCCCGCCTGAGCACCTGCCCAGTGCCCGCCGAGTGCCCACCTGAGCGTCTGCCGAGTGCCCGCCTGAGCGCCCACCTGAACACCCGCCAAGTGCCCGCCTGAGCGTCCGCTGAGTGCCCAGGGAGCGCCTGCCGAGTGCCCACCTGAGTGGCCGCCGAGTGCCGTTCTTGCCTCCCCTTCACCACGGTGCCAGGGGCCCGGGCTCTAGAGGCTCACCCACACCGAAGACCCCGCCCACCTCCGAGCCCTGTTCCAGTGCCCCGCCCTCTCTTCCAAGATGACCCTTCTTTTTTTTTTTTAAAGATTTATTTATTTATTTATTTGTTTGTTTATTTATTTATTTATTTGTAGAGACACAGAGAGAGAGAGAGAGAGAGAGAGAGGCAGAGGGAGAAGCAGGCACCATTCAGAGAGCCCGATATGGGACTCGATCCAGGGTCTCCAGGATCACACCCTAGGCTGCAGGTGGCGCTAAACCGCTGCGCCACCAGGGCTGCTCGAAGTGACTGTTCTTCATCACGGCGTTTGTCACAGTGCCTTGTGACTCCGGATTGTTTAAAGATTGTACTTATTGGGGATCTCCCTGGGTGGCGCAGCAGTTTGGCGCCTGCCTTTGGCCCAGGGTGCGATCCTGGAGACCCGGGATCGAATCCCATGTCGACCGGGAGCCTGCCTGTGTCTCTGCCTCTCTCTCTCTCTCTCTCTCTCTCTCTCTCTCTGTGACTATCATTAAAAAAAAAAAAAAAGATTGTACTTATTTATTTGGGGGAGAGAGAGAGAGCGAGCACGGGCAGGGGCTGGGGGGAGGCAGGGGAGAGGGAGACTCCTGGCTAGCAGGGACCCGATGAGGATCATGACCTGAGCCGCCCAGGCACCCAGACACCTGATTTTTTTGTTTCCTCTTTCCTTGTTTTCCGTCAGGACCCTGAGAACGGAGATGATCTTGTTTTTTTTCTGTACCGCAGTGTCAGCGCGTTAGCAGACTCACAGTGGGCGCTCGGTAAGGTTGAATTGACTTCGGGGGTCCCTCTTGCCAGAGTCCCTCTGGAGGGCATTCCCAGGAGCGCCCCCAACTCCCAGTCCAACCGTCTTTCCAACATCTTTACCCGTCTGAAGCTCTACCCCGTCCTCCACCCAACTCTAACCCCTGCTTCCCTGAATTTCCCACCAAGGCCTCCCGCACATTAGCTCTTTCCCTTCTATGGGCACATAATTGCACTTCGTATGCAGAATTGCAAATGCCATGGGCGCCTGGGTGGCTCCGTGGTTGGGCACCTGCCTGTGGCTCAGGTCGTGACTCCGGGGTCCTGGGATCGAGTCCCGCATCGGGGTCCCTGCAGGGAGCCTGCTTCTCCCTCTGCCTGGGTCTCTGCCTCTCTCTCTGTGTCTCTCATGAATAAATAAAATCTTTTTTTTAAAAAAATGTGAATACCATAATTCATTTTAGGTGATATTCATAACCTTTTCAGTGAAACCGCAGGGTTTTTGAGGTTAGGGATTATATCTTATCCTTAGTTGTGTGTTTTTTTTTTTTTTTAGTTGCTCCTAATTTCTTGCCGTTTTGGCACATTATAAATGTCCAGCAAATCCTGACTTAGTTGATTTTACAGATTGACCTGGCTTCCTAGGGGAAGTTTTCTCCACCAGAATAAAGAGAGTCGATGACTCCCTTCAGCCTCTACATGCAGCATCCAGGACTGCCCACCCCACATCCTACAAGTTACATTCATCCTTTGGATGGACCATGTTAGTCGGATACATTCCGTATTCATATTCTGGTATCTTTTTCTCCTTTTATGTGCCTTATTGTAATTATATACCTCAGGTAGGTAGTTACTTTTAACCTCTTTTGCAGTATAGTAGCCACACATACAGGGCAGCACATCACCATGCTGATAACAAGGAGGAGAATTTCCAAGAGCCAGTTAAGGCTTTGTTAAGGACTTATTTGCAGGGTGTCAGGCATCGTGCTAAATACTTGCCGTGTAAGGTGGATATGCTACCTTCACAAATGAAGAAATCAAGACTTAGGAGGTGAAGTCATTTTCCTAAGTCGCTTCATCAACTAATGGCAGAGCTGGAACACAAAAGCAGGTCCGTGTGGCTCAGATTATTTCTAACTACTGTGTGGCTGACCTGCAAATAAAATGTCGATGATGAATTCTGATTTACTTCTCTGTCTTCTCTGATTCGATCCCTTGTCTGAATCTTTCTGATATTCACTGTCACAATGAGTCCAGCACTGATTATTCTCTCCGCTCTCTCCGATAGCTAAGTGAGGCTTAATCCCAGAGAATAGAGGATATGGGAAGTGGGCGTCTGAGGATTACCTAAGGAACGGTTCCTCCGGCAGGGTTGGTTTAGGTGTCTCGCGGAAAGGCTTCGACCAACCCAACCCCATGGAGCTTACCTACTAGGTAGGTGGAAGACACCTAATTGGCAGATAAGGAAACAGGAAACAGACTCTCAAATCAAAACGAACTCTCCTTGGATCACTGAAGTCCAAGGAGGGAGATACAGGTAGCAGTTGTAGAACTGAAGAAAGGACTGGAGGCCAGGAACATAACTTGGACAGAGAGGCCCTACTTCCGTTACGGTTTTGAGGCGGGACAGAAGCATCCCAGGCTTTCAGGAGCCCTTCCTGAGCTTTCTGCAACTGGGCTTAGGGATTCTGTTTCTCACCTCTTTCCAAAAGCGCTGCAGTTTTTTGAGATGCTCAGCTGTTGGTTACCTCTTAACTATTACTTACAGTTCTTCTAATCCCCCCTTTCCTGTCTGCCTCCAGGCTTTTGCCCTAATAGAGCCAGCTACACACAGGCATAGATTGTCCCCAGCATCCTTAGCCAGTGACCTCGACCTCGGTCAGTATACTGACCTTTCCAGATCGACTCTCCATCTCCTTTGCCTGGTGCTGGCCAGCATCACGCAGTCTTCCCTGCCCTCTGGCTGCCCGTTAGCTTAGGCCAGGGGGAGGCACTAGCGGGTCTTTGGCCGTGGCTGAGTCCTGCTGCCTGAGACCATGGCTTCCACTGAGGCGACAGCCCCCTGCCTTGGCTACAACTCTCACCAGTTTCCAGTAACCATCCTGCCAGGCTTAAGACTGGTAAAGACTCTCCTGCCGTGGGGAGTCCCTGGGTGCCTCACCATCCCTTGTTGGCTTCCTAGCCCTGCCCACACCTTTATAAATAACCCCTTCCTTAAATCCTACCCCTATTAGCTCTTTAAGTACACCCTCTGTTTTCTGCTAGAGTCCCGGCTGATTTAGTCACTTTCTTTGTTTTGTTTTTTTAGACCTTGCTTACATTGCCTGCTTTGTAATTTCCTTTTGAACCTGTTCTAAATTCTTTTCGTTGAATTTAGCCCAGACCTTCAACAACTCATTTAATTAATGATACATACCGACCACCTCCACTACACCAGGATCTGTGGCAATTACCTCTCCCCCAAGCTTTTGCAAGCCTCCTGACTGGCTTAGCATCTCCTGTCTCTCAATTCTACGGCTAACTTGATGTTCATAAACAGTACTTTATTAGATTCTTTCCTTCCTTCCTCAGATATCTCCAATGGCTCCCAATTGCCTATAGAAAAAAAAATAGAACATTTAGGCTGACATTGAGTCCCTCCGTGACCCTGCCTTTTCAATCTATTCGCCTGTAAAACCCTCTATTCTAGGTTTATTACCCATCCTTTAGCTATGCCCTGTGCTTTCGTCCTACGGTACTTTTGTTCCTGCTGTATCACCTACAAAGGGATCCCTTTTGTCTTTGCCTTTTTCCTTTTCCATTTTTCTTTTTCTTTTCTTTTTTCCTTTTTTGCTTTTTTCTTTTTTCCTTTTTTCCCCCTGTGTTCCCTTTAAATACTATTTGTCTTTGGTGCTGGAGTCTAACTTCAACTCCTCAAAACTCTCCCCAGACCTTAACTAGTGCAAATAATTTCCCCCCTTCCAAAACTGTGGAGTTTATTGTACTAGTTTGTTTTTTTTTTGACAGTTAATTATGTCATGTCTTATAAAATATGTTACCTAAATCTTTAATGGATACTTAACAAGCACACGAGCTCCTCTGTGTACTAGCTGTGTGAACGTGAGACAATTCCCTCCCCCTTCCCTTGCTCTGCTACATTTACGGAGCATCACAGGTGCAGGTCCTGGGCGAAGCTCCAGGCTGTACTGATGACCAAACACTGACATGAATCCCATTCACGCGACACTTAAAGTCTAGTGAGCAAGACAGACAACCGTCAAATAAATTCACAAGTCAAATTGCTGCTCTGGTAAGTGCTATGAAAGACGGGTAGGTGGTGCCACCACAGCTTTTAACCAGCATTTCCGGCTGAGATGGGCGTGGTAAGTAAGAGTGAGCAAGGCTGGGGGCAGCAGGCAGGAGGGGTTTCCAGCGAAGAATAGCAGGTGCAAAGCCCAGTGAGAACGTACCTCCCTGGGGTGTGCATCGTGTGTTCAATGTCCTTCTACTACCTGAATGGTACCTTCCAGGTAATAGGAACTCAGTATTTGCTGATTTTTCTTGAGTCTCATGTCACATGTGTTCTAACCAGACCTCACAGATGGATACCTTCCCTTGCCTAGTGCCTGTCCCCGGGAGGTATTTTCCACAGGCGTCTCACTCTTGAGAACGTGTTGGTGGTGGTTTCTCTGGCCCTTGGCCTGTGCCTGTTGCCCTCCCTGACGTTTGTGGTATGCCCTCGGTGTGTGCGACTTACCTTGTTTTCCTCACAAGTTTGCAAGTCTCTTCAAAGCCTAAGGGACTGTGTATTTCATATTTCCTCTATCTCATATGTCTTGTGACTCATCCCTGAACCAGTGTTGCCTGAACGCTGTAGGTAAGTATCTGTTGATGACGATGAGACCCCGCGTTTTCTCCCTCCTCCCCCTCCCTCTGTCCTTCCTTTTCTGGGGAACAGAGGTCGGTGACTCTGGGACGCATTAGCAAGCATCAGAGAGGGTTCAGGGCTGGCTGTTGACAACCAGGCCTTCCAAGTAAGGGATGGATAAGAGTAGAAGGGAAATCCATCCATTTGAATGTTGGGGCAAAATGCCCAGCAACGAAACGAAGAGGCTTATAGAGCCTCGGGGATCACGAGGGAATGTCCAGACCCAGTAGCGTGGACGGGACATGGGGCACGTGAATCTGGCTGGGAGGGACGGCATAGGATCCGAAGCAACATTCCTGGATTGAGCCGAGCCGATTGGATATCGATAGATTGCTAAACCGTGACTTTTTTCTTCTGTTAATCCTTTAAAAACCCGGTGTGAAGGGGTCCTCTGCTAAAGGATCCCCGGGTTGAGGAGGGAGCTATGGCGGAGGGAGGGCTGGCTGCGCCCCTGGTAGGCCTGTGCGGGCGGCCCCACACCAGGACCGGCTTCCTTGTCTACAAGAAGCTAGAGGAAAAACAGCTCCGTGCTGTTTTTTATTCAGCAGCTTCTTCTGCAGGGACTAAAGTAAAATTAACCAAACGAGCTCCTCCGTCCCTGTTCCGTGGGTGACTCTGGCCTGGTTTAGTCCCTGACGCGGGGACGGACCGCCATCCTGGACATGGTGCTTCAAGAGCCGAGAGCCGGCCGTGACCGAGCCGGCGGCGCCTGCTGGCCCTACGAGGGGAGCGCGTGAGCGCACAGGTGCACAGGTGTGCGAGGCTCCCGGCGCCCCTCGGAGCAGGGGGGTAGCCGGCTTCTCTGCTCTGCTGGGCCTCGGGTGTCCCTGGACGGTCCTGTTAGCTGGCGGAGCCAGGTGGTGGGGACGAGGTGAGGCGGAGGACGCCCGGAGCCTCTTGGGGGACTGTCTCCCCAGGGCTCCCCCCACGCCCACGCCAGGCCCGCACGCCCCAGGCCCCGGGAGCATCTGGGTGGCCGCGGGCCGGCTGTGGGCCCAGCAGCTCGTCCCCGCACGTGGAGTCGAGGTGGGGGTGTCCTGGCAGGGCCCGCAGAGGAAGGGGGCGTGCAGTACACTTCCAGAAAAGGACGCAGAAGGTGCTTTTATTTTAAAACCAAAACCAAAGTGCTACAGTGACAGGACACTGCCGGGGTGGAGCGCGGCGTAGGTGGGTTCTAGGTGCCCGTGGCCGAGCGGCCACCCGAGTCCTCCCGCTCCCTCCTCCCTCCCGGGCCTGGGTGCGGGGAGTATCTGCAGCCTCAGTGGGCGTCTCCTCCTCTGAGGAGCGGCCTCCACGCCTCCCTCTCCCGCCATCAAACCCGAAAGCCTCCTCAGCTGTCCCTCTTGCACGTGCAAACCAGGATCACCGGGCACAGGTCTGGAAACCCGGGGAGTCCGACCCCGAACCCAGAGCCGGGTATCCGCCCCGTGCTACGATCTCCTTTCTGTACATTCAGCATGTTTGGTCCTATGTACATCCATAGACATCTCTCTACATGCACATACTCTCTCGGTCTCTCTCCTCGGGTCAGCCTCCCTATGTACCACGTCCCACTTCCCGAGCCTCCGCCTCCGTCTCGTCTGCTGGTCCAGGGGACACTGGTCTCGAGAGTTTCGCGAGGTCCGTCAGCACCACCCCCGTCATCGTCGTCGTCACACCCTGAGTGCCCTCTCCCTCTGTTGTTTTGCCCGTGAGGACTCTCCTGTTCCCGTGGGTGCTGAGTGCTCCCTGACGTTCCAGTCTACGGTTGGTGTGGTCAGGGGCCCACGTCCCACCGGACCTGGCTGCTCCCGAAGCTCGTCTGATAGCCTGCAGAAGGATTTCAGCTCCGAGGAAGAGGCTGTGCGGAGCCGGGGAGGGTGCGGGTGGGGAGCACTGTCCTCTGGGGAGGCCTGTGGCAGATGAAGCCGGGCTGTATTAAGAGGATAGTAGGACTCGTTAAAGTGCAGCTTAGAGCAAAGTCTGGGGTAGCAGAGCAAAATCAAAAACAGTTAAGTCAGAAAATGTCCCATTGTGTTAAGCAAGAATCTGAGCAGCCTGGGGGCCTGGAGCCGACAGCAGGGGACCAGGGAGAAGGGATTCCAGACCCTCAGGAGGGATGCAGCTGTGTGCAGAGGAAGCTAGGGGAGAACGGCTTGCCAGTGGAGGGGGCGTCCCGGTGCGCACGCGCTCACGCTCACGCCAGAACTGCGGCCCCCCCACCCTGGAAGAAATCCGGTAAGTCTAATGTTGAATAAAGTTGGGAGCCCAGACACTGGCTCTTTGCCTTCCGTTCTGTGTGTCAGATTTTCACGTTTTCCTGGGTCTTGTTCCCTTGAGAGCTTGGGAGTGCTGGTGGGTGGGGTGTACGGTCAGTGAAGAATGAAGGGTCTTCAGGTCGGAGTCAGCGGAGTTCAAGGAAAGACACACATGAGAGGATCTTATGCAGATCTTGAGGTGACCGTGGGTCCAGCCCCAGGCGCGTGGACGCGTTCTGGGAAGTGTGTGGCTTGTAACAACTGACCGGGTCCATGGTTCGTGCAGGGACCCTATGCCAAGCCACTGTCAGTGGAGGCACTTTTGGGATTTGGGGCTTTAGAGAAAATTCTGGTGCCCGTACGCCCTTCTCAGCCCCTTGCACAGCCCCCACCAGGGACCAAGGAACGGCCTGAGGTTGATGTCCTGAAGTGTGCCCTCTGACTCACCTGGAAGTGGCGTCCTCGCGGGGGAGAGGAGGTGGGGTTGGGGACCCTCTATCCCAAGTCTCAGGAATGGCTAAGGGAGACCCTGGTTATTGGATCAGGAGGCGTGTAGTCTCCTTCCCTCCCAGCGCTGCCTAACAAAATAGCTGGCACTTGTCAGAGGGGCACAGGCAGGGGTGCCAGGGACAATGCTGTCTGCCAGCCACACAGTTCTACCCCAGCCCAAACCCCAATAAAGCACCGCCGGGTCCCCGGGGCTCCACACAGCCGGCTGGAAATCTGAGAGCTTACTCCTCCTCCCTCACGGTAGGGTCAGTGGCACTTTCCCAGGGGATCCGTGCCCTGTAAATGTCTGGGACATCTCTCCAGACCTCTCTGTGGGGCCTGGGGACCTGCTGGCAGGGCCATCCCATCCACAGGCCACAGGGCAACACATGCTCCCTGGGCTGTCTGCGGGAGAGCGTCAGGGATTTGGACAAGAGCTCTGCAGAGGTCTGATTCCAGGACGCGTGCAGGTGCGATGCTGCCCGGGGCCTATTTCCTGCGTCGGCCCCAGGTCTCTGGGAGCAGAGGCAGCTAAGGGAGAACCAGGTATCCTAAGGGAAGGTCCCACTGGACAAAACGGGGGAAAACTGGTGACCAAGCTCCTGCGTTATAGTCAGAATTTGCCGGCAGAAGTGAACCACCCTGAAAAACCTGACTTCTTTCAACAGGGGTTGGTAGAGGACCCGGGAGGGATTCACCCAGATTCCCTTATATCTCGAGGCACAGACCCCAAAAGGACCATCAGAGTCTTGCCCCAGGGAACTAGCCGTGTGGGGAACGAGAGGGGGTGGGGGCTGCGGCCTCAGGTCACCAAACCTGGATGGTGGCGGCGGGAGGCGGGGGGAGTCTATCCATCCAACTGCACGGTCCTCCTAATGTGAGTCTCCAAGCATGGCTGAGGCGTCCTGGGCCACTGCAGCCTAATCTTCCCTCTCCACACCCCCTCCCGGCGTCGGGGGGTTGTGTATCTTGGGGGAGGGTGCAGGGGACACTGGAAGGAAAGCTGGGACTCCAGTTGGCCTCGCCTACCCGCAGGCTGCCAGGTTAAAGCAGAGGGGGCGGAGGATGGGTGCTTCTGGGGCCCTCCGGGAAGCCGGGGTGACGGCCTTCCCCCGGGACGGGACGCCAACAGAGGACACACCAGAGGGACGGGGAGGCGGGAAACCAGGCCGTCAGACGTTGCTGATGCGCACGCTCAGGGCGCTGCCCTCCTTCTCCGCTTGTTCCCTTAACGACTCTTCCAACTTGAGCTTCTCAGGGTCTCCGTAGCGGACAGCGCTGTCGCGGAGGCCGCCAGGGGAGGCCACTTTCACCACCTGGTCAAAAAGGCTGAAGTCAGCGATGTATTTGCCGCTGGCGGACAGCGAGATGGCTGGGGTGAACTCGTAGCCCCAGAGGATCTCCTCCGGCAGGTAGGATGTGCGCACCTGGCAGGTGGCACTGGTGGACTCCACCGTCCCACTGAGGATCAGCACCAGCTCGAAGTCACCCTCACCACTGCGCAGGGGGAGGTCTTTCAAGGGACTGGTCTCATCTACCACGTGGTAGAAGGTCAGGGGCAGAATGAGGAAGGGGCTGTCCGAGGCCGTGTCGACCTGGAAAGTCACGTTGACCTGGTTGAGCCGGATGTTCTCGCCCTCTTTGGTCTGGTGGGTCTGAAGCAGCTTGCCCGTCACCTGGCAGCCGATGAGGAGGCTCTTCCGCATGTTGGCGACTCGGATCATGAGGCAGGGCTTCCCGTTGTGGGCCGCGACGACCGCGTGCTGGCTGAACCGGATGGTCTCCGCCCGCTTCTTGGGCCGGGCGATCTTTGCCAGGAAGGTCCCCGTGATGAAGATTTCCAGGATGGTGGTGAGCACCAGCTGGGCAATCAGAAGCACGATGGCCAGCGGGCACTCCTCACTGATGTAGCGGAAGCCGTAGCCGATGGTGGTCTGCGATTCGAGGGAGAAGAGGAAGGCCCCCGTGAGCGTGTGCACCTGTACCACGCAGGGCGTGTGGTTGGCCGGGGGGCCAAGCTCCAGCAGGTCCCCGTGGGCCACAGCCACCAGATACCACACCACGCCGAAGAGGAACCAGGTGCCTGCAAAGGTCGCCGAGAAGAGCAGCAGCTTGTAGCGCCACTGCATGTCGATGAAGGTGGTCCACAGGTCCTTGAGGTAGAGGAAGCGCTTGTCGGCGATGTGCTCCATCCTCACGTTGCTGCGGCCGTCCTTGGTCAGGACCCGGCGCCGCCGGACCCCTGGGCCCACGAGGGGCCGGCTCTCCGTCTGAGTGGTCTGGCTGTAGTACACCTTGGCGACAGACGTCATCTGGAGGGAGCAAGACAGCATAACGGAGGTTATTGCAGACATCCAGCCAACTCCTAGCCACCACCCAGCGCGAACGAAGAGGGGACATCCGCTCGGCGCCGCTGATTTGTTCTCACTGTCGGCCAATACTTATGAGCACCTGCTCCACGCCAACTGCTGTGCAAGATGCCGGTGAGTCACCAATAGAAATGACACCTTCCTTGCTCTCCAAGAACTCACGCCTAGCGAGCGAGACCCACGTTCAGCGAGCAAATAACTGCCATGCAGTCTGATATTTGTAATTCTTGGGAGGGACAGAAAAGAGAGAGAGTCATAAGTTCACAGTTCCTTGAAGGTGGGGCAAGAAGAGAGGGTTCTACTCGTCTCCATTCCCCGCAAAACCAGTTCTGTGAAGATCTCCAATTCTGAAATAGGATCCCTCCCCACCCTCGTGAATGGCAGAGCAAGAAAGACTATCCCGCTGAAGCTGTCCCAGGCCAGCCCGCCTCAAAACCCCCGGGCCCTTGATACCCCCACCTGCCCCCCAGCCCCAAGTCAGTACTCGCCGGGGACGCCAAGATGCTCATCTGGCCAAAGAAGTAGCAGAAACTGCCCACCCTTCTGCCCTTCAAGGTGTTCTCTGAGCAACCAGACCATTTCACTATGCGTTATTACGATTACTATTACTCCTTTACCATCACCATCACTGTCGTCACCCATCTGCATCATGTGGGGGGATTCAGGCCGGATCCCGGGGGCGCACGTGGGTGGGAGGAGCGCAGACAGGACCCATGCAAGCAGCTGAGCCACGGTGAAGTAGAACGTCCCATCCTGGCCTCCTGGCGGTGCGGGACCGTTTCCCGGAGGACTGGGGGAGACAGCAGCTCACCGCGGCCGAGCCGCCTTGACCGAGTGAAGTAGGAGGGCTCGTGTATAGTAGTCAGCACCCCCGTCTGCAAGAGCTCGAATTCGGGATTGCTGTCTGTCCTGATCGAAGAAAGTGGGCCGAGGCTCTGAAACAGGAGACCGCTCACCTGCTCCTCCAAGGTGCCGGCACCCCTGCCCAAGGAGTAACTTGTACTTTTCCAGCAGAAAAAGGATTTCAATCACTGGAGCCCTTGGACTCTGGGTCTGGTGGCCAGACCTGGGAGGGAGGAGGGCGATCTCGAGGGAGTCTGGCCTTTGGAGAGCTAAGAGGCGCATCACAGTATCCATCCCAAAAAATCTGAACCACTGCACTTTATCAGTCCTTCACCCTGGTCCCTTACCTCGTCTTCCCCAAGACCTGACACCCTGAAAACGAAACTATCTGAGCCCGTCCAAACACCCACCCACGCAGACATTGAACTGGTGACCACCACTGGACGGGAAACCCAAGATGTTAGAGGCAACCAGGCGCCTGTTTTGCCAGCCTCTGCCCATGTGGAACCTCTGTCCGGGTGAGACCGCTCGTCCACTTCCCAGTACCCTCAGCTACCTTGGAGCAAAGGGGAAGCTCCATAATTCTGAAGAATTATTATTTAGAGCCCAAGTAAAGCCCCATTTGATACTCAGTAGTAGTAGTAATATTGAAAAAACCACGCGCAGCGCCTGCATCTCTATGCCATTTTCAAGTTTACGGATTAGCGTGCCTTCTCATTTGATCCTCAAAGTGGAAAAGTCGTGCGACCTCTAAGAGATTCTGAAGAACTGTGAGCAGACAGAGAAAGTGCTGGAAAGTTGTGGATGAGTGAACGTAATTTTCTTTTTTTTTTTTTAATTTGCAAAAAGAGAAACAAGATACGTTTCACACACTGGGTAAGATAGTGACCCAGGGCAAGATTCTAGAACAGAGCATTAAGGCTGAGTACTTGGAGCGCCCGGGGGCTCAGTCGGTTGAGCATCTGACTGTTGATTTCAGCTCAGGTCATCATCTCAGGGTCGTGAGATCGAGCCCCCTCGTGTCTGGGTCCACGTCCAGCCAGGAGTCTACTTGAGCTTCTCTCCCTCCCTCCGCCCTCTGTCCCTCTCTGTTTCTCTCTCTCTCAAATGAATTAAAAAAAAAAAAAAGGATTGTGAGCACTTGGGAAGGTCGGAGGGAGGGCAGTTATCGGCAGGACCCAGCCTGGGGTGACCAAGAACAAGTCACACCAAGTGGCCTAACTTCCCTCTAAGACAAGGTTCCTAGATGGGCAGTCACAGCAAGGCAACAGATAAAGTGTGTCTATGCAAGATTTTTGACAAGATCTCTCCTTCTGTCCTTGAGGATAAGACCAAGAAAAATGAGCAGAATGCCGCTCCGATGCTGGGGACTAACCCACACAAAAACGAGTGGTGCTCCTGAGGGGATCATGACGGCCTGGGATCTGTTTTCTCGTGACGTCCCAGAGAGCCTTATCTTCGGCCTCACCCCATTCAACATTCATGACAGTAATCCTATTCAAAACTATACAGCACATGGATTACGGGGATGGCACAAAGCAGGGATGGATCGCAAATGCAAGATCTGGACAGAATCAGGATCCAGGAGGAGCCAAATCTAACAAAAAAAGGTATCAGGTAGGTGTACGTACTGGAGTCCAATAATCACCTGAGCCATTCCGGATTGGAAAGATGGGATGCATTTTGGTTAAAACAAGCAATGCTATTTTTTTTTTTTAGAGATTTTATTTATCTGAGAGAGCACTAGCAGGGCGAGCGGCAAAGGCAGAGGGAGAAGCAGCTCCCCCTGAGCAGGGAGCCCGACGCAGGGCTCAGTCACAGGACCCCGGATCATGACCTGAGCCGAAGGCAGATGCTTCACCGACTGGGCGTCCCAGCGATGCTGTCTAAGCTACTCTTCAAGTATGTAGAATAAGGAAGTCGTTGACTCTGCTCACCCTGTACTTGCCGTTTTGAGTCTCCGAGGACAGTCAGGCCATGAGAGGATTCAGAACCAGAGCGTGTAAGGAGTGGCTGAGGGAGGCGGGGAAGTTAATGGGGAGAAGAGACCACCTAGGGGTACGAGAGGCTGTGTGCAGATATTTGGTTTGAAGTTGCTGTCATGTGAACAAGGCTTTGGCCTTGTCCTTTGCCATCTAAGAGGAGCCACCAGGACCAATGAGTTCGCAGCACAGGAGCAAAGATTCCGGACTGCTACGACAGAGATCCAGGTAACAGTCCCGACTTCCAAACGGGGAAAGAGCTTCTCCAAAGGTAGACAGTGCTCTGTCCCTGGAGGTGTTCAAGGGCAGGGTGGACAGCACTGGGCAGGGTCTATGGAGGGAATCAACGCCTGGACAGAGGCAGGGACGGTCTGCAAGCTTTCACCTGCACTCACGGCGGATCAGGATGCCTGCCTGCCGCCTGCCTGCGCACCCTCTCTCCCTGCAAACCTCCTACGGTGACGTTCCCAGACCCGTCATCAAAGTCTTAGCTTTGTATCTTCAGGAAGGGAGGCTCTCAGGGCCCAAGGGAAAGCTTCTCGTTCCCAAAATGAAAGTCTACGATTATATATCATGCTGCAGCTCATAAATACGTAATTTGACCCTCGTACCATGAACTAAATACAAAAGTCATCATGAGAAACAGGCTCAGTGGACGCCTGGGTGGCTCAGCGGTTGAGCATCTGCCTTCAGCTCAGGGCACGACCCTGGGGTCCTGGGACCACGTCCCACATCGGGCTCCCTGCAGGGAGCTTGCTTCTCCCTCTGCCTGGGTCTCTGCCTCTGTGTGTGTGTGTGTGTGTGTCATGAATGAATAAAATAAAACCTTAAAAAAAAAAAAAAAGAAACAGGCTCAGATATTTATCCCAAACAAGTCAGTGGTAGAGATGAGACCAGAACCTGGGTCTTCCAGTTCCTGGTCCAGAACCTTTTTCTTCTTTTTACTTTTTTAAAGTAGGCTCCACACCCAATGTGGGGCCTGAATTCACAACCCTGAGATCGAGAACAGCACGCTCCCTTGACTAAGCCAGCCAGATGCCCCCAGAACTTTTTAATCATAGCAACTTCCATGTACCCAGGCTCATCCCCATGGGTGTCATAGGCTCGGGACGTGCCTCCGGGGTGCCCCGCGTGGAGGGTCCCAGCTGTGCCGCAGGAGACAGAGACAGAGCCTGTAGCTTCCAGAGCCCAGCGTCAGGCCTACAGACCCGGGCGCTGCAGATTTTGGCTCCTGGCGCCAACACTTTGTTGTGATTGCCGCCTCCAGCCGTGTGCCCGCTGCCGCCAGCCTTTCCGTCTGCCTCCTCCAGCTGCTCCCAGCTGTCGTGCCACCTCCCACAGCCAGGCAGCTTTGTTCTCCGAGGTGGCATGAGTCAGAAGCAGATAAACAAGCTGCTGCGTGCTGCCAGCTGGCGGGGCTCCGGGGAAGGGACCAGGCCCAGCCCTGAGCCCCATGGGGTCTCCCGCTGCCCCACCTGGCTCACCCATGCTCGCTCCCTCCTCTAGAGGGTGCTGCTCCCCCAGAACAGTCCCAGCCGGACCCCGGGGGCCAGGGTCTCCAGAACTCTGAACACAAAACCAGCCCCCCGAGGGGTGAAGACACAGACACGGAGACCCCGGGCTTCCCACTCCAGGAACTGTGCTCGTGGTTATTCCTCTAAAACAAAGGCCAGTCACACCCACAGCGGTGTCCGCCCGCGGCCTCAGCGCACCCCATGCTGGCCTCCCGCTTCTTCGGCCGCCTTCTCCGGGACAGGTGGGCCCACGGGCCTTTCCTGAGTACGCTCCGCTCTGGGCCAGCGCACCGCTCTGCTGACTCTCGCAACTAAAACTGATCCATGGCTCCCGACTGCCTGTAGGAAACGCTGCAGGCCTCTGAGCACAGCCTTCAAGGCCTTTCGGGTTTGGTCTCTGCCTACCCGCTGGCTTGGTTCCTGCCGCGTCTCTGCACGTACCCTGGGCTCCAGCTCTGCAGAGAACCTGCGGTTTCATCCTTTCCACCTTTGGACCCGCGTTCACACTGCCCTGCTCCTAGCCTCCCCGCCTCCGACCTCCGGCTTAGCTCTCAGAACTGGACTCAAGTGTCTGTTGGCCCCTCATGACCATCAAAGGCATCAA